TATATATATATATATATATATATATATATATATGTATATATATATTATTTTATTTATAAAAAAAAAACTCTAGCTTACCCTTTTTTGTTTCTATGGTGGTTTGGACTGTGATGACCATACGTTGTATGGAAACAAATCAAGGCTAGGTTTGAGAAGTTGATATAAGCAAGTGTTGTGACTTTTTTATGGCGGTACTACTGATATATCTTGTATAGGTGTGCTTGACCAGCACTAGGATGTAGGATTATTTTGGGATGAGTGTGTGTGTGTGTATATATATATATATATATATCCTGTTTATATTAGTTTGACTAAAATATATTTATACCCATGTTAATTATATGTATAGTATATTTCTCTTATTAATCTTGTATATTCTAGTAACTTAGCTTTAGTTGCAAGCGCTAATGATTTCATAAAGTGTGGTGATTATGACAGGTCATTACAATAATAATAATAATAACATTAATAGTGATGATTGATGATAATTATAGTAACAATAATGATAGTGATAATAATTATAAAATACAAAGTAGTGGTACAATTAGAAAGATGATAAGTATTTTAATTTTGTTAGTTAAGTATTTCTATTTACAACAAAATATTATCTATGATTTATTGAGTGATAAAATAAATAAATTTTTTGTTATTTTCTTTTTTATCTAATTTATTTCTATCAATAATTTTTTACAAATTAATTACTTAACAATTATATTGATTTTAATTGTATACATAATATGATTTTTTTTAGCAAATCAAACTGATTATAAATTTATATAATAATGATAATGATTTGTGATCAAATATTAAAATACATTGTATTTTTCTCTTCTTAAATATACTTAAATTACATTACGCTTACTTTACTTTGATTAAGAATTACGCTTCAAAGAGAAGAGATACACTGCACTTTTTAATTCATTTACTGTAAATGACCATCATTGCTGTGGTGAATGGACTTCAAAAAAGCAATTTTCTTCTCTATATATATAATTTTCATTGTCATAAATAAATAGTTTTAGTTCAAACTTGAGAGACACGAAACAAGAAAAGCATTTTCAAGAAATTTGTTTATATTATAATAGATATAAAATCACGACGCGTAATGATTTTTTTAAGGTTAAAAACTTATTTTAGTCCCTTATAATAATTGTTTGTTTCAATTTAGTCTCATTTTTATTTTTTGTCTCAATTTGGTCTCTAATAAATTAATTGGTTACAATGTCGGACTTCCGTCCAAATTATTTAAACGGAGTTAACTGTTAGCCACGTAGATGCCACGTAGATGCATAGGTGGATGCCAATTTTCTTGAAAACACCTAGAACCAGAACGGGCTGTTCTGGGTGCACTCTTGGTATGTTAATTTTGCATCTGGAACGACCCGTTCCAGGTGCAAAATTAACACACTAAGAGTGCAACCAGAAAGGACTGTTCTGGTTCCAGAATGTCAAACACAAATGGTCAATGATTATAGTTCACGGTTGTGAATCATGGAAGGAAAAAAACCTAAGATACAAAGCATTTCAAACACTGCATTTGGTAATATTGTCAATGGAAATTGATACTGAATCAGCCTTTTTTTTTTTTTTTTTTTACAATGTTACACAACAGGCCATCATCAAATTGTAAAAGAATGCGTTCTTAAAGAGTAGTTGTTGTAACTTTTTTTTTTTTGCATTGTATAAATATTAGAAAAGAGGAAACAAATCGAAAACATCGTGACAATTTTATAAACAAAAAGTTATAAAAAAAAAAATGAACATGTCCTGAGTTCCTTTTACTAGACTTATTTCTCATTTATCAAATTATCATTTATTATATTCATATACTGTTTCATTAGTATAAAAATAAATATACTACCGGGATAAATTTATAATATTTATATAAACCCTAAACTTAATATATTTTCTTTTAAACCTTTTTGGCCCAGTTGAAATTGGGCTGGGCTGCTAAAGTACGAACTCATCAAACAAAAATGTTTCAAAATTTTGGTCAAAAAGACAGAAAGAGGAATTTTAGTTGTGAGAGACTGTCGATTAGATTACGTACTCACACGGTTACTGCAATTCTGGTTTCTGGAGCAACAAGAGGAAACAAAATAGGGGCTGCACTGATTCATTTGCACCATCTTATTAGGTGCTACTAACTTTTGGCTCAAAACTATTTAGTTAAAATAAATAGCACGCTTAATTATATTTTTTTATCTACAAAATATACTCAAATATTTTTTTAAAATCCAAATGTTGGACAAACATGTTCATATTTTTAAGTTCAAACATGGTACGACATTCTGATTCAAACGAGAATGTGGATCCATTCCTTGTTTTATTCTTCCAAAGACCTCTTATCTGTGTGTGTATGTTTATACTTTATATATATATAATTATAAACATGTCCTTCACCTTTGTGCATTGATAACAAGGTTATTGATTGATTCCACCAAAAGTGGAAGAATTGCCATAAGGATTAGAATTTTGAACATTGAACCATGGATGAAGCCAAGAGAATGGAAGAGGGGTTTACCACACCCCATAAGGGCGAGTTGAAACAGGAAATTGAAAAAACCAATGGTGGAGACTCCATTGAACATGACAGAGACACAAGGAGTAACCAAGAGGGTGAGTCCGTTCAGCAAATAGTGGAGCAAGAGCAACCATTGGTGAAGCAAAAAACAAGAAGGGTTGCAACCCTCGATGCATTTAGAGGCCTCACCATTGTGGTTAGTGTACTATAAGGATATTTATGCATAGTTTTCTACATATAGCTCTTAGTTTCTTAGATAATCTATATATATTTTGAAAAGGAAACATGAGTAAAAAGTATATTGTCTATAATTGTATGTATGTACAGTTGATGGTACTAGTAGACGATGCTGGTGGAGCTTATCCACGCATTGATCACTCCCCGTGGAATGGTTGTACATTGGCTGATTTCGTTATGCCCTTTTTTCTTTTCATTGTTGGGGTTGCTATAGCCCTCGCACTAAAGGTACTACTCTAACTAATTAAGAGTTATAATATTTTGGTTGTCCCTTGTTTTAAAAATTAATTCATGGATGAATTATTTATTCATCCTATAGTATACAACTTTAGCTCATTTATAATATTTTGGTTTGTACCTTGTAACAACATAGAGAATCACCAAGGTTAAGGATGCTGTGAAGAAGATAATCCTTAGGACATTGAAGCTTCTCTTCTGGGGTATACTTTTGCAAGGTAAACAAAACTCCTCTAGCTCATTGTTTCAACATACTTATGCAGAAGATTAAACACATACTTGGCAACATAGATTAGAGGAATGCTTTTATTATTTAGATGAAATTTATTGAAAAGCATAAATTATGTGGATCCTGTATTTCATTGAATAAGTCTATCTTTTGATTTAGTGATATGATCTACCAAAATTTTTGATTTCTAATCAATAATAGAAAGGATATTAACCATAGAGTGTTCAAGAGAGTGTTGTTAGCATTTTTCTATAGATTATGAATTTTATAGAGATACTAGAGTCTAGACCATTTGCCAATATATAAATGAAACAATGAAGGATTTTGATAAATTTGACATGTAGGTGGATATTCTCATGCCCCTGATGATCTCTCATATGGAGTTGACATGAGATTTATCCGATGGTGTGGCATTCTCCAGGTTTGGATCCAATTAAATTAATACATGCATGCCTAAATTACATTATTAAAATTCTCCTCAACTCATTTGTTGAGTTACCATGATTTTGATGCAGAGAATAGCTCTTGTATACTGTGTTGTAGCTCTGATAGAGACATTTACCACCAAGCTTAGACCCTCTACCTTGAAGCCAGGACACCTATCCATTTTTTCTGCCTATCGATGGCAATGGTGAGAGAAACAACACATTTCATTCTCAAAACTCATCTGAAATGTAAAAAGACTAAAACAATGTAAAATATGACACTAGAGATTGTGAATTTGGTTTGACTAATGAGTAATGACACAAATATTTGTTAACATAGGCTTGGGGGGTTTGTGGCATTTGTGATTTACATGGTCACAACCTTCAGCCTCTACGTTCCAGATTGGAGTTTCGTGGATTATAACAGTGACAAACCCAAGAGATACACAGTACGTAATGTTCTCTCTTGTATTTTCTCAAATTAATTGTTCGTTGGAGACTAAGGTTTTCTGTTATTTTTCCGTTGTTAATTAATTACTAGGTCCAATGTGGGATGCGAGGACACCTAGGTCCTGCATGTAACGCTGTTGGGTATGTGGATAGACAAGTTTGGGGCGTTAATCATCTTTACTCTGATCCTGTTTGGACACGCTTGAAGGTGAGGTTATAGTAATAGTACAAGTAGTGACTAGTGAACCATTTGAGTCATAATCATAACATGTGTTTCTCAAATCATTTAATTCTTTTAAAATAGTTTTAATGTTGTTATTATTCTAACTAAAATGACTTTAATAAATGCACTTTTTCTGTTGTTTATAGGCATGCACATTCAGTTCCCCAGCTGAAGGCCCTCTTCGTAAAGATGCTCCATTTTGGTGTCGCGCTCCCTTTGAACCCGAGGGCTTGTTGAGGTTTTATGCCATGATACATATTTCATTTGTTAACTAATTAATACTTATAGAGACTATTTATTTATTCATATGAAAGCCCTAAATATAGTAATCTATCATTCGATCTAAATGATCAATTTATGTTAAATTGCCTTTTGTTTTTTTATCTAGTTCCATATCAGCTATTCTCTCTGGCACCATAGGCATCCACTATGGGCATGTCTTGATTCACTTCAAGGTTACAAACTTTACCCTATAAGCTCCTATGCCTTATGGTTGTCCACTCACTAGAATTTTACTTTATGAACGCAAGTTAGTGAAGGAGTGAAACATTTTTTTACAGGGTCATTCCGAGAGGCTCAAGCAATGGCTCTCAATGGGGTTTGTTTTATTAATCCTAGGCATCATCCTCCATTTTACAAATGGTAAGCTAGTGAAAAATGTCTCACTTGTCAAGAGTTAAAAACCCAACTATCAACACAAAAAGAAAAAGGAAAATTGTCAGCGAATAATTTTTTTAACACTTTTATGATCATTAGCTAAAATTTATTAAAAATTACAAACTTTTGTGGATTCTATATCTTATTTTATGAATCTCTCTTAACTTAGTAGTGAACCTCATAAAAAATTCGTGATTTTCAAAAAAAATTCAATCTATAAAAGAGATATTAGAAAGAGT